TTTTTCATTATTTTATATTAATTTATGAAAAAATAAGCAAAAAGTATTACATTTGCCATTTTAATAATTAACGAAATACAGCATGCAACATCGGTGTGGCTTTCAGAGTAAAAGGTAAAATTTTCCAAACACGGCTAACTTTCAAACAATAATTTTTCCAATTTGCAGCTATGTTGATATAAGAGAAACAGTTATTCATCTCTGAAATTTTTTTAATTTATAAAATCAATTATTTATAAACTTTTGAATATGAATAAAAAAATTCTTTAACAACTGTTGTTATTGTCGTATGCCAAGGCAAAGGCGGAGCGCTTCTTCTTGTTTTCCAGTGGTGCCATCTATGGCCGAGAATTCCACTTCTGCCACTCACATACGTTACAGTCCGTTTATAGGGCAGACTTTTCATACATTTCTCCGCAGATCGTAATTTTGACCTAAACCAGAGAGCGATCAATCTCCGATTCAGAACCCCCATAGGTATGATTTGTTATAGGAACATGGTGGAATTTGTGACCTGACAGACTTAACGAGCAGCAGTCACCATTTACTTCACGGGGATCGAACTCATGCCCTTTTGAACATTCACCCAACTGCCTAACAACCAGGCTATACCGGCCCATTCCAACTACTTCCTTTGCTTTTTATATTCCAGAACAAATATAATTTCAATAATCTAACACATTTTTTTAGTAATGTACTGTATTTCAGTAATTAGTTTACTTTAGTTTACTTAGTTTAGTAACCTTTAGGGGCTTTATTTTAAAATTACAAACCACCACCTTACAAAACCACCACCTTTTGCTTCTTACCTTTAAAAAAAATACATGTAAGGATCAACTCTCTCTAATATGAGAAATTTTAATTAAAATTTTTTTAAAACTCTTTTTAGAATTGAATACCTATGAGGAAACTATTAGTAATATAGATCAAAAATTAAATTTTAAAAAAAGAAGATTATTTCATATTTTTCCTTTGGATAAATTAGTCTTTTTTTCCCACACTTATTTGTAATTTTTTTAAGAATATGTGTTATTTTATTTTTAAGAATGCCGTTTAGCATGTAAAATTCTTACTAAATATACTATGTTTAAGTCATTCTGAGCTCAGAGCGATGTAACATCACTAAGTGCGTTCATTAAACTATTGTCTAATTTTAGATATTCTGAAACTTATATTCCAATTTTAGTGATAAATTTCGTAAAAATGCTGGAACATATCTAAAATTTTTAGCATATATTATATTTTTTGCGTTATTTTAAAATATTTTCATTGAATTATTATCTAAGTTCTATCTTATCTGTTGTTGTTGTTGACGTATGCCTGTTTAGACAGAGAGTGCGATTGTTCTTGTTTTCCAGTGGCGCCATCTATGGCCAAGAATTCGACTTCCTGCCACACCCGTTTATAGGGCGAACCCTTCATACATCCATTCATTCATCCACAGATCGTAATTTTGACCTGAATCAGAGAACGATCGATCTCCGATCCAGTACCCCCAGATGTATTGATTTGTTATGGGAACATGGACGACTTTTGTGACTCAACAGATTTAACATGCATCAATCACTTTACTACTAACTTACTTCGGGCGGCGGGGTTCGAACCCATGAACATGGGCCCAGCGCCCTACCGTCCTGCCCTCTATCGTATCTAAAATTGCTAATTCTAGACAGACTGAAGATCTATAAATCATAAATTTTTAATCATATTTCAGAATTATAGCTTATACTCCGAAATTCTTCAGTAAGTTCTTGTTACAATTCCGTTAATTACATATTCTGTAATAGTTTTAGTCTTTCAGAAGAAAAATAGTTTTGAAAAGTATTTATTCCATATTTATGAAGCTACAAAAATTTAAGTAAATAAGACTCGGCAGCATTAACAATTAAAAATTTATTATACAAAATCATCAGTAAAAAATCAATTCATACAAAGAATATTATCAAATACTTAGAACAACTCAACATAAAACTAAGAGAATAGATCACACATAGAACCAACTTATTCTAGAATAAATGGCGAAACTTTGCCATGAAAGACGTAAAATATGAATTTTTCTATGAAGAACTTTTAAATTTTGTGCAAAACTAATTGAAGTTTGTATGGCTGTGGTATTTCACAGCATATTCAATAGTTTTTCTTTGAACAGTTTTTAAATTTTGAATACATTTAATTGAAATATGTATATCCGAAAGATTTTATAGCTCTGTAAAATAGTTTTTCTTTACAACGTTATTAAATTTTTAGGTTTACATATGTGAAATATACATGGACGGCTTTAAAAAAATTAAAATTACCTTAAAAAAATTCACACCTGAACGAAATAGTTTTTTTTAAAATTATTATTAAATTTTGAAAGTACTTAAATAAATAAGTAGATTCATATCATATTTGATTTAAAAGATTTACAGCCTATTAAAATAGTTTTTTTTAATCTTTATTAAATTTTGAATTCACTTGATTAAAATATGTATATCTGAAAGATATCATAGCTTTGTAAAATTTTTTTTTTCTGAACCGTTATTAAATTTTGAACTCACTTAATCGAAATATGTATATCTGAATGCTTTCACAACATTATAAATTTTGTTTTTTTTGAACCGCATTTAAATTTTGCACTCACATAATTGAAATATGTATAAAATTTAAGTTTTTTTTAGAATTTTTAAGTTTTGAAAACGCATAACTGAAGTATGTACAGCTAAATTATTTTACACAATAGAGAAATTTCTTTTTTTAACCGTGTTTAAAATTGGACCACATATAATCTTACCATGCAATGCTGAAATATTTCACAGCATTGTAAAAGAGTATTCAACCACTTTTTTTAATTTTTGAATGCACGTAATTGCAGTATGTAACCCATAAAGTATTTGAAAGCATAAAAAAATTAAAAAAGTTTAAATAGTGCCTTTGTGAGTTGTAGAAAACATATGATATTGTACTTATAACTGTAAGTTTATAGTCCATAAATTATTTTCAAGAGATTAAAAGCTGTTCTATTGAAAATGTTTTTTTAAAGGATTATGAACAACTCCACCCTGTTATTCATTTCCACAAATTTGGTTGAAACAATAAAAGATCGCTATTACTTCTAAGAGAAAACGATTTCTCTGGGAAACGATTAAGTAAACATAATCGGAACACTTTATTCCGTGATTGCCTCCAGAAACAATTACGATGTATTTAAGTCTGCTAAAGGGTTTTTATGGTAATAAATCACAGTTTTAAAGATTTTTTTTTACTTTTTCACGTTATCATTGTTTTATTCTATCTTAAGGTGTCATTTATATCACTAATTGCTGTCTGAAATGTTAACGCCTTTAAAATTTAATCGGTTTTAAATGCTTTAAAACTTACCAAAGCCCGATTTTTATTATATTTAATAAATAATACTATAATAAACCCAGATAGACGTTTCAATTTTTTTCAAAAAATTTTAATATTGAAAAATGATATTTCAATTTTTGTGAATTTATTTATTTAGTCATTGTTATATTGTATAAATTTCGCAACAATGTCTGACATAGTATGATCTTATAAAATAGAATTTCAGTTTAGAACAATTGGGGATTTATTTTATGTTTAGTATCAAGCATGATATTTTATTTTAAATAAGTGAATCTATTAAAAGAAAAAAATTTGAATATTATTTAAACTTTTAAATAAATATTTAGCTCAAAACTTCAACTATTAAACATTATTATATTGGATATAATTGGGACAATAAATAATAATATTGAGATTAGGATAATACTTTAATAAATTTTTGAATTTGAGAACATAAAATACTTTGAATTTCAAAAATTATTTTTAGTTTGTTTAGCTAAAAATTATTTTATTAATTTGAATTTTAATCTTAAAAATTTAGTAATTTTTATTTTTAAATAACTTTACTTTGTAATTTAAGTTTTTTTTAGACATTTGAGACTGAATTAGTGCTAGAAAAAAATTCCGAAAATATTAAAAAAATTAATTTTGAACAAATTATTAATAAAAATTTCTGGTTCATTGAGCTTTATGTTTTATGTTTAAATGATTAGCTCTATTTAAATAAAATGATTTGGAGATCATTTAAATTTCTAAATAAATGTTTGAATACATTATATTATGAATCACTTGAGTTTAAACTATTTTAAATTCCCAACCCTTACTTTTTTTTTTTAAATTTAAAAATATTAAACAAAGTGCGTTTCGTAATAACAAGCATTAATCATAGTTTTAGAGTCCTTTTTAAAAATTATTAAGAAAACATGCACACTAGTGGTCTCAAATTAAAATATCGACGAAAAAGCAAAAAGGTCGTCGGAGGAACCACTTTAGTTTAAGTTCAGAATGACGTGATTATTATCCTCAAAACTTGTTTGAGTGCCGGAAGAAACTACGGCTATACGGTTATAAACAACCCCATGTTTTATCTAGCAATCAAACTGGTTTTAATGTCGTTAATCTGACCTTACTCAATCGTGATACGGCATATTTCGAAATTATTCTTGCTTTTTCATCTCTTCACTAATTTGGGACCTCTAACATATATATTTTGTATTAATTTTTAGCAAGAACTCTTAAATTATATAGTTAGAATGGTAATTACAAAACAAACTGCTTGTTAAACAAGAATATCAAATTAAATTACAATTTAAAGAAAAGCTTTTTTCTCAATTAATCTTTTATGGGTTTCAAATAAACAAAAGGCGAAAGTTTAGCAGAATAGTTACATGAATTTAAAAATTGAATTTTCAGTTATGAAAGCAGATAGTGTTTTTTTAAATACATTTTCAATTTAAAAGGTAGAAAGTATTTTATCGGTTATTTTTAAATTTGATATAATGCTCATTATCTTTTGTAGTTTGGCAACATTAATTCTAATTACAAATATCCCAAATGACTTTCGATCTCAACCGTATTGTTTCGTGATATGACTAATATTTACATCGACTGAAACGTTTCTTGAACGCTTCGACAACACTAGCTAACACTCTATATGAGGAACATAACCGAGTACGAGTGTCCGTTATACAGAGGTTGGCCATTTTGGCAAAAACAATGCAGTTAAAAAAAATGTTTTCCGAATATTGAGTTTTATGTACATCACAGTTCTTTGATTCACAAATCGTTTGCAGTTCAATTATTATCGTTTGATTTTCCTTTGTTCTATGTCATTTTTCCTTATTGGATCCACTCTGCAAGAACAACCAGCTGGGAACTTGAATAGAGCCACTACTGGACTACGGTTAGGGTCATGTGGATAAACAGCAAGCAACCTGTGAAGACTGTATCTTTGTTGGCAAGTAGAATCGTAATATGGTGATATAAAAGAACAAGGTTCGTTTGGTCTCCTGTGGAAAAAGAAAACGATATCATTTGTAAGTTTATGGTTGGCAACAAGATATATAATTCGTTAAATAAAATTTTGAGGTTAGAATATTTGATGATAAGCCTGTTAAATCAAGCGAAAGAAATGCAAAACGGTTGTCTGATGTTAATATGGTGATATAAAAGAACAAGATTCGTTTGGTCTCCTGTGGAAAAAGAAAACGATATCATTTGTAAGTTTATGGTTGGCAACAAGATATATAATTCGTTAAATAAAATCTTCAGGTTAGAATATCTGATGATAAGCCTGTTAAATCAAACGAAAGAAATGTAAAACGGTTGTAAGTACGGCGACTTCCTAAACAAAATCAAGCAGTATTTCAAGTTTTGATAAAATTGAAATGGATATATAAAGTTGTAATTTGCAGATTGAAATGAGTCGTATTTTATGTATGTGTTTTGAAATTTGAAAGTAGACAAGAGGTAAGTGCGCTTTCAAATTACTCGCTACATTTACTTCGATATACTGAAGTGTAGTTGTCTGGAGTTTATTTTAAGTAAAATGAAAAATATTTTTTAAACTACTGAAAAACATTTACCAAATTACAGTAAATATAGAGCGGTGTTTAAATTAACACTTTCATCACGGCATTGACGCGCCTTTGTCCCACTCTCTACTCATAGAGCTACCTCACAGCACTAAAATTAAATTAAAATACAAATTCCTTTAATAGTTGATTATTTTACTTTAAAAAATAGTAATCATTTGCAATCAATAACCATATTCACTACTACAACAGTAGAGAACAACGAGTATTTCTGGAATATGAGTTATTTCGTCCATCGCGATAAAAGAGTTAAAAATCTTGATATTGTTCATCATTATTAAATATTGAATATTTAAAACATTTACCGAATATTTAAAATAGTTTTTTTTATTATTATTTAACTTTTTCTGGGAAGAAAAATATTACATAGAAGTTTTAGTCAAGATGAACCTTAAGAAATAAGGTCATCTTATGCACGTCCAAAATGAAGTGGACAGCTTTGGTTTTTACATTTATCAATAATTAAAATCCACGCTGGGTAAGAGATAAAAAAAATCTTACAATTATCTTACAATCTTCATTATTATTGTCAAAACTAAGGGAAGCTGTCTTTATCGCACCAATCCTAAAATGGATAAGGACCGTTCCAGATTTTTTAAAAAAAGTATTTAGTAAGCCAATTTTCCGCAACTCAAATAGTCATTAACTGTTTTCGGTCCCTTTTAGGTCACATGGAGAAAAAAACTCTAGAAAAATTACCGTTCTGTTTGGTAATGAAAATTTTTGTAAAGAAACCATAATTTTGCTATTGAAAACCAAAATATACGGTTTTTAAAACATTTATTTGGAAAATTTTCCGTTCATATGATAACGTTTTACCGGAATTACTGATTTTCAAAATTATAATTCTCATCACCGCACATTAAGTAAAAAATATGAAACTGAAAAGTAAATTTAACCGAATAAAATGTTTTTATACCATGTTCTAAAGTTCCATGCTAAAATAACGAGATTTACCCCCATTTACTAGATTTTATTATTACATATTAAACTGTTAATTTTACAAAACTCATTACCAAAGCTCCTTGGTAAGAATTGCCGCTTTTTTGGTGTTTTCATAAAGCCCGAAATATGATCAATTTTACCATATTCAACTAGTTTTAACCATCCTTTTGTTTAAGTGTACTTTAAAAAAGTACAATTGACTTTGGAAACTAAATTTACGTTTGTAACACGTTTTTTTATGTAATTCTTTGCGTTATTCTAATAAATGTCGCATTGGAATGCTTGAAAAGTTCCATCCTAACTACGAATCATACAACGCAACAATGCTGTTAGTGTCTAAAATTCGATGGGAAAAAAAATAAAAAGTTTACTTACGAGCAACTTTCTGTTCTAACTTTCTGTGGGAAGAGGTCAGTGTTGATGATAACCATCCAGTCTCCAGTAACACTCTCTTGTGCCCAGCCTGGCCTCATTATATTGGCCTGTGTCTCGCAAGCGAAGCTACCACGAGCAGCTGCACTGTCGCCATATTGGTTCTTGAAAAGTTCAGGATCTCCGACGGTTTGCAATTCTTCATACATAATTCTTACTTTCGTCATACTCTTGTCCACCACGCGATTTACAAAGTCTCTGAAAAAATAGGAATGATTTGATATTATTGCACATTCTTTTCAAGATATTTCATATGTCAAGATGCATTTTACAAAGCGCAAAGTTGAAGAAACCATTGATTTAAAATTTGATATCTCATACAAATCTCATATCAAATTTCGCTAGGATAAAATCTCGTACCGATGATATATAGCTTTCGAGAAGTAGAAACTACGACATTTACTATAATTTTTCATTGGTATTCTTTTCGCTCACGTGACGAAGTGAAGCATACTCTATGCAACAATTCGCCCGATTTGTAGAATTTCCGATTTACTTTCCCGTGAACCGTGAACTTTTATTTTCTCTTTAACTTTTACACTATTTGAAACAAATGTTAAGAGTTGTGTGAGAGAGTTGTTAAATCAACAATTTTTTTTACAGTCTAGTATAAAAATTCAGAAAATATTACATTAATTCTAAATAACTTTGCAAAAACATCCGTATTTTATATATAAAGATGCGCCTGTTGCCCTTTTCCATGGTAATCTTCTGTTGTAAATTTTTCTTCTGATATCCAAGTCTTTTTTTTTTACGGTAATTTTATATCAAAACACGGGTTCTTTAAAAGTATTTAAATATTTTTTCCTAATTATAATTGAAGTTTATTGTAGAATCCATAATTTTTTTCTATTCTATTTCTTATTTATTTAGTTAAACTTTTGGTTAATATAACATTATTGAAAATAAATAAATTATTATTTCTGAAAAATTACGAAATTGTGTTTACTTTGAAAACAGGACACTTATAACGGTTTGGTGACTATTTTGTTTCGTAGCTTAGCTGTGTTTCTTAAATATAAAAAAGAGAAAAAAGAAGATGCTTTTCATTACTTACGCTGGATAGTCATCTGTAAGTATGCAAAAGTTTCTGCCACTTAGTGCACATGGTGGCATTGATCCATCGAGTTGTGGTCGATCAGGTCTGGGAACTTTAACGGGTGGTCCTTCAGACACACAATCTTCATCACCAGTTCCACCAGTAGGGGGTCTTCCAGGTCTGGATGTGGGTGGTGGTGGCCTAATTGGAGGTCTCACAGGTGGTTGTGTTGGTGGCCTTATTGGTGGCTGTGTTGGAGGAGGCCTGACTGGTGGCGGTCTTGTTGGTGGTGGCCTGGCAGGAGGCTGTGTCGGAGGCCTAACAGGTGGTTGAATGGGTGGAGGCCTGACAGGTGGCTGTGTCGGGGGAGGTCTAACTGGTGGCTGAGTTGGTGGTGGTCTAACTGGTGGAGGTGGTCTAGTTACCGGTGGTGGTGGGGGTGGAGGTGGTCTAAGTGGTGGTCTTGTAGGTGGGGGTCTTACTGGTGGTGGTCTAGTTACTGGTGGGGGTCTTACTGGTGGTGGTGGTCTAGTTACTGGTGGAGGAGGTGGTGGTGGTCTTACCGGTGGTTGTACTGGAGGCGGTCTAACTGGAGGAGGTGGTCGAGTTACTGGAGGTGGTGGAGGTGGGGGTGGTCTCAATGGAGGCCTAGTTGGGGGAGGTCTAACAGGAGGAGGAGGTCGAGTCACAGGTGGTGGTGGAGGAGGAGGTCTTACCTAAAAAAATGCAAATACGTTTGAATTTTTCTTAACGTAACGATGCATAAAATATTAAATTATCGAAGAAACTGATGAGTGATTTTGCTTCTACATTCCTTTCTGTAATATTTTACATTAAAATACTACACTAAAATGATTTTCTTACTCGGTGAATCGTAATAGCCTCTCGATTGCACCAAAAAAAAAGCCTTGAAGCTTCGAACTGAAACCTAACATGTATTTTCAAAATACAAGTAGATCAAAATATGTTAAATAATATTATCAATTATTCGAACACTAAGGAAAATGTAACTAATATAATGCACGTCATTTGTTAAACAGATTTAAAAATGTCTTGATATTAAACCAAGACAACTGTTCTGTATTTATCTTCGTTGCTTTTATTTTAATAAGATATTTATTCATGAATGAAGTATACGAGTACAGTTCAAATAGAAGACAAAAAAAAACTTGAGTTAGTGGAAAATGTGAAAAACACAAACGAAGCAAAAAAATTTATTTCTAATTCTCACAAATTTGCAATTTAGCATGCACGCACCAATTACTTTAAGATATCCCTTAATGCACCCATGCTGTTGGGAATCTAATTTTCCACGCGTTTCTTATTCTTTTAGCTTTTCGCTCTCTCCTTTAGAATGCCGTTGTCTTAAGGCTTCGATAACGTATTATTTAAATGTTTAAAAATGAAAAATTAATCTGTAAATTGAGCAGACCTACCAATTGCATTTTACGATGCAGTTGCAATTATAGTAGCATATAATATTTAAGAGCATTTTTATGATAATTTGACTAGAATAACCTTTCTCTTAACTGCAATGGTAGTGCAAATTTTTACATTGAAACAAGAGTCAACTGGCATATATTCAAAAGTTGCGGTTTAAAAACTTACGGTTTTAAGCACGTCCTGACTTCCTGATCTTAATTAGTTAAAATATTTAAGTGATCTTCGAACATTTCGAGAAATTACCAATTGTTTCGTGAAATGTAGCTCGTGTTTAAACACACATCATCCAAATTAAGATCAAGTATTTCACGAAGCAAACAACCCATTCACGCGTTCTTATATCATTTTCATTGTCGGTGATCTTGATGATTATATTCTATTTACTTCATGTTGTTGTTGTTGCACACCCCCTTTGGTCAGCAGTGCTAGATCAGGTCCATGACGTTATGCACCCTCAAAAAATCCAACACCGTCAATGGATCATCTGCTAAATCCTGTTTGGTGAGCCTCAGGCACGCGAGGATTCGGTGAGGCGAAGCCTGATATGAAGAACAGTTGGTACAAATTTCAAAGTTCTTGTATCCCTCCGAAAATTTCATTGATTTAAGGTGACCACTTCGAAAACGGGAAAGAATAGTTTGTTCCTGTCTATTAAAACCTTGGACTAGGGAGCCTCCAGGTCAGTGCTTTGGGGGGACATACCATGGGTGCTTTGGGGGTACATTCCAAGTGGTCTTGTTCTTGTGTTTTATTTTTGAGAAGATTTCCAAGATTTACATCATTCCAATATCGAAGTTCAGTAGCGTAGCACAATGTTCTTAATAAATAAAATCTAAGTCGCTATTAGTATACAAAACAAAGTCTTGTATGAAGTAATACTCTTTAGAGAGTAAAATAAATTGACCTGGTGCTCAATCATTCATCTAAAAACTCTAATCATATAATGTCAAAAGCCTTTTATCATAATAGTAAATAAATTTTTATTTTACCATGTTAAATAATAACTTCGTAATTTCGTAATAGTAAAAATTAATAACTTCGATAATTTCGACTAAAAAGCTTTTAACATTACCGGTGGTTTCGTTGGTGGAGGCCTTACTGGTGGAGGTGGTCTTGTGACTGGTGGTGGAGGAGGTGGAGGTGGTCTAACTGGTGGTTGTGTTGGTGGAGGCCTGACTGGAGGAGGTGGTCTTGTACCTGGTGGAGGTCTAACGGGTGGTGGTGGTCTGACGGGTGGTGGTGGTGGTGGAGGAGGTCTAACTGGAGGTGGAGGCGGTGGTGGACGTACTTGGGGGGGAGGCGTCGGCCTTGTCACCGGTGGTGGAGGCTGTTTACCAGGTGGTCTTACTGGTGGTGGTGGTTGTTTGCCTACATAAATGTGCCGAATGATTATCATTATTCTTTTTCATTTAAAAAAAGAAGAGAGAGAGTTACGAACAAAAATACATCAGAAAATAAATAAAATAATACTTTTAGCACCTTTATATTCTGTTACATTGTTATTTGTTATTTCATTCTCTGTTACAATGACTAAGATTTAACAGTGATTTTAATTTATTGATAATATGATATATTTATATGATTTATTGAAAAATCAAATAAATTACTGATAATAATTTATTTGATTTTTAGTATTTCAAGAATTTTTTTGCAGTCAGTGATACGAACCGAATGATTATTTTTCATTGATGCGATTACACTCTATTAATTCATTTTGAAACTGATTAGAATCTTTATTTAAATTAATTTTGGCCTGATCAGCAAGTCAATTTAATCCAGTCAATGATAAGAATCAGTTGAGTAACATTTTTTTATTTGTCTAGAGAACCTAGAATCTGTTGATTGTAATTTGACGATACTCTAAACTTTATTGATCCATTTCAAACTGATTTTAAAAATTTAATTTAATCAAATGATTTCCCTGTTAAATTACATTAGTTTATTTTAGTCAGAGAAGCGAATCAGATAATGCACCATTACAGTTTGTTTTGAGAAAGCGGATTTGAATCAGTGAGTCAAATCAATTGTTTATAAACCATTTTGTTAGAATCCGTTAATCGTATGAGATAATTACTGTACACTGGGTAGAATAAAAATACACTCTATAACAAAAAAATTGACGCACCAAGAACGAGTTGTCCGATTGAAACGAAAATTGGTGGATAGGAAGACAATGTACAGAATAGTAAATGATTAAAATTTCAGAACAATTGAATAGTTTCTCTTGAATAGGTCTCTTGCGGTATTTCCTGCCAAATTCGATCCAATTGTCGAACGAGGTCATCAACATTACGTGCCAGATGCAATCGCCTTCCCATCATATCCCAGACATGCTCAATGGGAGAGAGATCTGGTGATCTGGCAGGCCAAAGAAGAGTTTGACAAGCTTGCAGACAGTTCATAGCAACACGTGCCGTATGTGGTCTGGCATTGTCCTGCTGAAAAACCAGCCCAGGGAGCTGCAAAAGGAACGGTAGCAAAACAGGTCTTCGGATATCGTCGACGTACCGCTGTGCAGTAAGTGTACCTCTAATGACGACCAAAGGGGCCCGGCTGTCAAAGGAAATTGCAGCCCAGACCATAATGTCTTGTTGAGGGCCGGTGTGGTATGCAATAGTGAAGGCAGGATCCCCCCTCTACTCTGTGCGTCTCCAAACACGCCTTCGTAAATCGTCAGGACACAGTTGGAAGCGGGATTCGTCGCTAAAGACGTCCCCAGTCGGCATCATTCCAGCCATATCTGTTCAAAACATTCATGCATACGAAATTTCAAAGCAATCGGATGATTGCTTCTTGGTGCGTCGATTTTTTTGTTATAGAGTGTATGTTGATCGTTTTTAAATATGCTTTATAGCAGATAATTTGGATCACTCATTCAACTAAATTTGTATAAATCCATTAGCCTGAAAAGATTCATGGATTCGAATCTAATTATTTAAAGATTCCAAAAAATATGTTTAATTATTAATTCAAATTATTGAAGAGTATTGTTTGATTTTATGAAATCATTTCAAAAGCATGCGTTGCCTAACGAGGTACTAAACTGATAAAAATTAGTGATTAAGTTAAATTATCTACAAAAAGAACAAAACAAATGAAGGAAATATCTGCAATAAAGAAAAATCTACAATAAAGAAAATCAATTTAAATTAATTTTGTTAAAATTAAAATCAATTATGAATTTAGAAATTTTTATACCGCATTAAATATAAAAACAAAATCTACAGTAAAATACAAACGAGTAGCAGGCATATCTAGTTTTGAACAAACAAGTTCAGAAGCAATTTGAATATTTTAAGCATGGTTACCCTTTTTCGCGTCCGCAAAAAATGGATTCTTCAATATAAAAAAAACATTGAAAATACTAATTTACATCACGTGAATTAAGCAACAGTAAGCAATTTTATTCTTAAAAATGCTAAAGTTATTAAAAATTATGAAATAACTGCTTTGTTGAATTTTATTACCTGGTGGTCTTGTAGGTGGAGGTGGAGGTGGAGGAGGTGGTCTGACAGGCCTTTGTGTTGGTGGAGGAGGAGGTCTGACTGGTCTTTGTGTGGGTGGTGGTGGTGGTGGTGGAGGAGGTGGTCTGACAGGTCTTTGAGTAGGTGGGGGTGGTGGTCTGACAGGCCTTTGAGTAGGTGGGGGAGGTGGTCTGACAGGTCTTTGAGTAGGTGGGGGTGGGGGAGGTGGTCTGACTGGCCTTTGTGTTGGTGGGGGTGGAGGAGGTGGTCTGACTGGCCTTTGAGTAGGTGGTGGTGGGGGAGGTGGTCTGACTGGCCTTTGAGTAGGCGGTGGTGGGGGAGGTGGTCTGACTGGCCTTTGAGTAGGCGGTGGTGGGGGAGGTGGTCTGACTGGCCTTTGAGTAGGCGGTGGTGGGGGAGGTGGTCTGACTGGCCTTTGAGTAGGCGGTGGTGGGGGAGGTGGTCTGACTGGCCTTTGAGTAGGCGGTGGTGGGGGAGGTGGTCTGACTGGCCTTTGAGTAGGCGGTGGTGGGGGAGGTGGTCTGACTGGCCTTTGAGTAGGCGGTGGTGGGGGAGGGGGTCTGACAGGCCTTTGCGTTGGAGGGGGTGGGGGAGGTGGTCTGACTGGCCTCTGTGTTGGAGGGGGTGGGGGAGGT